TATGCTAATGAGTTATGCTAATGAGTTCCCCTAGCTCTTTTTCTACAAAATGACCCCTGAGGGGAAGGGATGCTTGTCCCAGTAGATGGACTGGATGATGGGGGACTTGTGAGAGAAGGAGAGGGAGGGCAGAGAGCCCTGGGATCGCTTCTGCTGGGCTTGGGCAGGACAGGACAGTTCTGGACACTGCAGTCACACTCGGTGGTCATACTTGGAGGCCACGAGTATCAGATTGATTCTTGGTGGGATTTCCCATCAGCCGGGTTTCAAAGGCACAAAACAAAACAAAAAGGGATCACAGATATCCACAGGAAAAAAACCACAAGCAAACTCTGTGATATGAACAACATTTATAAGATTTACATTGCTTTTCTAAAACCTTCTAAAAGTGCGACAATTTATCCAACCTTCTTACTTATACAATATTGCAAAAAAGTACACATAGTCCAACATAATGAGTACCCGGTTGTGAACTCATTTCGACTTTATAGTCTTCCTCAGATGTAATCCAATATTTAAAGGTGTCAGCTTCTTAAATCCAGCTCAGCATTGTAAATTCTTAATTACCTTCATAATATCCTGGAATAAACCGTAATCAATAAAACTCCACCTGAAGCTGCATGGAAAATAGTTATGTTAAACTTATAATAATTTAGTTTCAAAGGCAGCAACATCGCCAGCAATTATGTCCGGCCACATGACCACAGAGAAGTCTTTGGACAGCGCTGGCTCTTTGGCTTGGAAACGGAGATGAGCACTGCCCTCTAGAGTCGGATTCGACTGACTTTCGAGCAAGGGAAACCTTTACCTTTACCTTTTTAAATCTGCTTAGGGGGGTAGTGTTACACTCCTGCATTTTTAGTGGGCAAGGACCACAAAGCACTTCTGTGGCTCTCCGAGGACAGGCACGCTAGCCTGGCCCAACTTAACAGCTTCTCTTTCCTCCTATTCCATTCTCCCATGTAAAAACAAGCACAGTTATTTTCACTGGGAAATAAGCCGTGATCAGCTGCAGTCGCTGGCCATCCGACTTCTGCCATCGTTCCCGTGACTGCCAGTGGGACCCTGATACATTCTTAGTGGGAGGGGGAGGTCGAAAGAAGAACACTTGAAGCATACTGAGTCTGGCCCTTGGTCCATCGAGGTCTCTGTGGCCTACTCAGGCTGGCAGCAGCTCTCCAGGGTCTCAAGTGCGGTCCTTTCACATCACATCATTACGTGATCCGTTTTTGACTAGAGATGCCGGGGATTGAACCAGGGACCTTCTGCTTGCAAAGCAGAGGGCCTTCCAGTGAGCCACAGCCCCTCCCTAGGAGGCTGGGGAATAGTCAGCGTGAGACGCCAGCTTCCCTCTCTCACCCTCGTCGTGGCCCCGATCCCTTCCCCCAGGTGCGGCAGCAACGGGAGTCTGTGGAAAAAACTTCTCGGGAGAAGGCCAACTTGGAGGACATCCTGAACCGCAGCAGTGAGGAGTGCAACAAGCAGGTACGTGTGGGTGGCATGCTGCTTGTGGGGGGAGGGTTTTTTTTGCTGCTGAAACCCACCCTGGGCCTGCATCCCGTCCTCTCCACACTCCGGGACCTCTCGCTTTTTCCTTGGCGCAGGTCCAGGTCCTTAGTGCTCAGATCCGAAAATCCGAGGAGCTTCTCCGGAGCCTCCAAAACACGGTGAGCAAGAGCCAGCAGCAGACTCAGGAGCAGCTGGTGAGTGCGATTTGCGTGCGGGGACGGTGAGCAAGGACGGGGAGGCCTGGGAAAGGCTGGGCAGCACATGGAGGGGGTTTGCAGAGCTGTGGTTTAGAAGGGGACGGTTGACAGTGAGTGTTGGCTGGGAACTGGTTTGTGTTAAAGTGCCCCCCCCCCCCATGAAAGTTCCTGGGAAGAACCGCTGTGTGGGCCGGGGGGGGGGGTATGATGCCTCTCCCCTCTGCACTAGCCCAAAGGCATGCTGCTCCTCCCTGCCAGTGCAGCACATGAAACACATGAAGCTGCCTTCTACCGGATCTGACCCTTGGCCTGGTATTGCCTGCTCAGGCTGGCAGCGGCTCTCTGTGGTCTTCCACATCGCCTGCTATCTGATCCTTTTAACTGGTGATGGTGAGGATTGAACCAGGGACCTTCTGCAGGCAAAGCAGGGGCTCTGCACCTGAGCCACAGAGTCCCTCCCTTCCCGTCACTGGCAGTGGCCGTCTGTCTTGGGGAGGGGGGCTGTGCTACTTTGCTGACTGTGAATTCAGCTCTTGCGCATTGTCGGCAGGGCACGTAGCATCCCTTGTGCCAGCTGTGAGGAACGGCATCACGGAGCTCTTCCGTGCATTTCAGCAAAGGCACAGGACAAGAGGCTTTTAAATGTGATGTCTGCTGCCAAGGGGAGACACTTCTCAAAGCCTTCTGCGTGGGCCTTGTAACACTCAAGCTGGCCCTTCAGAATCCCAGGACAGGACTACAGGCCGAAGTGTTCAGCTTCTCGCTGTGGTGGTGGAAGAAGGCTAGCAAAGTGCACAGCCTGAACTTCCTGCTGCAGCGGAGAGTAGCGGTTGCTGGTGGGCCACAGAGTGGCTTTCTTTCTCTTGACAGTTTGGTGTGGTGGTTAAGAGGGGCGGACTTTGATCTGGAGAACCAGGTTTGATTTGGATAACATCCAAATCGCAAGATGTCATAGTCCCACTGTACACTGCATTGGTCAGGCCGCACCTGGAGTACTGTGTGCAGTTCTGGAGGCCTCACTTCAAAAAGGATGTGGACAGAATGGAGCGGGTGCAGAGGAGAGCGACGAGGATGATCAGGGGCCTGGAGACGAAGCCCCAGGAGGAAAGGCTGAGGGACTTGGGGATGTGTAGTCTGGAGAAGAGGAGGTTGAGGGAGGAACATGATCTCTCTCTTTAAGTATTTGAAGGGCTGTCACTCAGAGGAGGGCAGGGAGCTGTTCCTGTTGGCAGCAGAGGATAGGAGTCGCAATAATGGGTTTAAATGAAGGGCCGGAAGGTACCGGCTGGATATTAGGGAAAACATTTTTACAGTAAGAGTTGTTTAGCAGTGGAATCAGCTGCCTAAGGAAGTGGTGAGCTCCGCCTCACTGGCAGTCTTTAAGCAGTGGCTGGACAAACACTTGTCAGGGGTGCCCTAGACTGGTCCTGCATTGAGCAGGGGGATGGCCTGGATGACCCCTTCCAACTCTGTGATTCTATGTTTCCCCCCTCCTCCACATGCAACCTGCTGGTGTGACCTTGGGTCAGTCACAAGTTCTCTCATAACTGTTCTCTCACGAGCAGTTCTCTCAGAGCTCTCTCAGCCCCACCTACCTCACAGGGTGTCTGTAGTGGGGAGAGGAAGGGAGGGAGATTGTAAGCCGCTCTGAGACTCCAAGTGAAGGGTGGAGTATAAATCCAACCTCCTCCTCCTTTTCCTCCTCTTCTTCTATTTTAACATAAGACCATAAGAGACGCCAATGTTGGATCAGGCCAAAGGCCCATCCAGTCCAACACTCTGTGTCACACAGTGGCCAGAAATACCAGTGCCATCAGGAGGTCCACCAGTGGGGCCAGGACATTAGAAGCCCTCCCACTGTTGACCCCCCCCCAAGCACCAAGAAGACAGAGCATCCCTTGAGAAGCCTCTATGCCTCGGAAGAGTGCCCACCTTTACTCCTATCCGCTCCCTCTCCTCTTACCTCCTAGGCTGACCTGGGTGCATCCCACAAGCGCCTGAGCTATGAAGTGCAGCGCCTCCACTCTGAAAACGAGGGGCTGCGCAGAGCCTCTTCCCGAGACCTGGACGACAAGATCCAGCGCTCGCCCAGCCCCATCCAGGTAACGCTGACCGGGCTTTTCCTCGCATTGTGGTGGAGGATGTGGGGCATCAGTGTGGGAGGGCCGAGAACCCTCAAGTGACAGGCGGGGCCGTTTCCCTCGCTCTGCCAGAGTCTGCAGGGCATGGTGAGCCAGCAGAGACTGGAGGTCGAATCGCAGCTTCGGAGCGCAGAGCACCAGGCTGAACGGCTGCGGATAGAGATTGTCTCCCTGCGGGAGAAGCTAGACGAGGAGATGGCAGCCAAGTCGGGACTGCAAGGGGAGCTGGAGAGAGAGCGAGAGGAAAAAGGTAGGTGGGAGAGAGGCCCAGGGACTGCAGAGACGATTGAGGTCAGGGGGTCCAACATGGGCAGTAGGTCCCCAGTGTTGTGCCCAGGGGCGCCCTCCAACCCTTTTTGCGGCACCCACCAAGTGTTTTACTTACTTTATTTTTCGGCTTGCATGACCAGAAGTCTTAAGCACAGTTATGCACACATTATAAAAGTACCATTCATACAGCACCAAGTGTTTTTTAAAAAGCAGGCAGGGCCAGGTGGGCCTTTTGCCTCAGCAGGACTTCTGGGTGGCCACAGGAGATCTGAGTGGCTGCGCAGATTCAAGGACATTTGGCGGCTGGCTTTCCTTCCTGCGGCAGCCATTTTTTTTGGTTGAGCCCCACCAGCCTGCGTCGGAATTCAGAGGGCGCCTGCAAGTGCAGAAAGGTTGGGGGGCCCTGAACTGGAGGGATGGGATGGACTCCTGGAATCCGGAAGTGCTGTGGCTTAAAAATCCAGTAATTTTGGTTTGATGCTGCGGTGGCATCCAGCAATGTCAAATATCTTTCCACTGTTATGCGTGTGACTTTCTCACTCTCTTTTTTTTTTCTCCTTCCTGCCCTACTTCTGGCTGGAAGAACTCTTGCAAGGTAGGATTTTGGTCTGTTTTTAAGATGGAGATGCCTGCATGCCTGTTAAGAGCTGGGTGCGCAGTGCTCCCCAAAGGGATCTAACCTCCTCTTCTCCCTCCCAACCCCCAGCCTCTTTTAACAGCATCCAGAGTGAAATGGAAAGACTGCAGCAAGGACAGGAAGAGGGGAATGGAAGCCAGGTAAGGGGGCTGAGCATAATCTCACACAGTGGGGAATCTAGTGAGCAATAGATATAAGGCTGGCATCTGGCTCTGAACATATAATTGACTAACATGGGTGCAGATGTTCAAACACATGCACATCTGTATGTGCGTGCACCTGGAAGTCATGGCGACCTCTGGTGACTGACCCCCTACTGGGGGCCTGAAGGATATTCAGAGAGGTGGCTGAATAAAGCCTGCCCCTGCCTCCAGACGGCTGGTATTCCAAGGAGCTCTCCCATCCAAGTACTTGCCAGAGTCGACCCTGCTTAGCTTCCGAGATCTGACAAGATCAGGCTTGCCTGGGCTATCCAGGTTGGGGCAGCGTTCTTTTTGAAATACTTGCTGATGGGTCTGTCAAAGCCTGGAGGGGGGAAAACAACAGAACCGCTCAGGAAAGGGGGCTCTTTTTGTAGCAGGTACTCATTTGCATATTAAGCGACACACCCCTAATGTAGCCAATCCTCCAAGAGCTTACAGTAGCCCCTGTAAGAAGACCTCTGTAAGCTCTTGGAGGATTGGCTACATTAGGGGTGTGTGGCCTAATATGCAAAGGAGTTCCTGCTACAAAAAGAGCCCCCTTTTTTCTCCTGACGATTATCTTTAGTGTTCGTGCACAGATCGTACACTTTCTTCTGTTTTGCTACAAGATCTGTCTTTTCTGTTTTCAACTTTTGATTTTCTTGGTGCCTCCTAGATAGCAAGACCTACCATATTTAGCCTATAAAAAAAGAGACGACCCCTGGGAGCCGGCATGGTGTATGGGTGAGAATGTTGGACTAGGATCTGGGAGACCCAGGTTCGAATCCCCATTCTGCTATTGAAGCCCACCAGTTGGCCTTGGGCCAGTTACACTCTCTTAGCCTAATCTACCTGACAGAGTTGTCGGGAGGATGAAACGGAGGAGAAGAGAACAATGTGAGCTGCTTTGAGTCCTTGCTGGGGAGAACGGTGGGGTATACATGAAGTACATAAATGGCACACATACCTGCAAAAATAGAAGGTTATAACGAGAAGAAGAAGAGATTGGATTTATACCCTGCCCTTCACTACCCAAAAGAGTGGCTTATAATCTCCTTTCCCTTTCTCTCCCCACAACAGACTCCCTGTGAGGTAGGTGGGGCTGAGAGAGCTCGTGAGAGAACAGCTCTGAAAGAACTTGTAACTGACCCAAGGTCACACCAGCCACTGCATGGCAGATTTAAGAATACCCTTCTCAAAAAAAAAAGCAAAAAGCTCCCAACAACATAAAAAACATGGCAGAAGGGTGCAAGATCCAAGCCAGAATTTCCAGAATTCTGTGCTATTAATCCCCCCTCCCAATTTTTAATGTACTGCAATCAAGCCTTTCAAAGACAAGATGGATCTATTGCTCGTGTGACCTTGCAAGAGAAGTGCAGCAGAGGTTTCCCTTTGGGGGCTCAGTCAACCTTCTGGTTGTCTGGTCTGCCCGGGACTGTTTAAAACAAGAATAGTTGGCAAAGCTCAAGAAGGGGTGGCCGGGCTGTGTTTTTGCTTGCTACACAACCACTTTCGTAGACTTGATTGAGACACAATCGTTTCCGCCACTTTGGGCCCCGTGGGGGTTCAGCTTCTGCCTCATTCTTTAGTTCCAAGAAGTAACAAGTCCCCAGCGAAAGGAGAGAAGGGGGCCACGTTGCTGCAGACTATGCTGCAAAGTCACTGAGGGAGGGATCTTGGAAAAGAGCTCTGAAAGAACTTGTAACTGACCCAAGGTCACACCAGCCACTGCATGGCAGATTTAAGAATACCCTTCTCAAAAAAAAAAGCAAAAAGCTCCCAACAACATAAAAAACATGGCAGAAGGGTGCAAGATCCAAGCCAGAATTTCCAGAATTCTGTGCTATTAATCCCCCCTCCCAATTTTTAATGTACTGCAATCAAGCCTTTCTAAGACAAGACGGATCTGTTGCTCGGGTGACCTTGCAAGAGAAGTGCAGCAGAGGTTTACCTCTGGGGGCTCAGTCAACCTGGTTGTCTGGTCTGCCCGGGACTGTTTAAAACAGGAATAGTTGGCAAAGCCCAAGAAGGGGTGGCCGGGCTGTGTTTTTGCTTGTTACACAACCACTTTTGTAGACTTGGTTGAGACACAATTGTTTCCGCCACTTTAGACCCCCCGTGGGGGTTCAGCTTCTGCCTCATTATTTAGTTCCAAGAAGTAACAAGTCCCCAGCGAAACGAGAGAAGGGGGCCACGTTGCTGCAGACTATGCTGCAAAGTCACTGAGGGAGGGATCTTGGAAAAGGCATTAGTCTCTAAGGCGCTCCTTTCTTCCACAGAGCCATCTAGTCTGCTCCTAGCCATTGTGCTATCCTAGCTCCCTGGACCATTGCTTGCTTGTTTGTTTGCAATTTGCCATGTCCCTGGGGTGAGCAGCAGATACCCCAGGGGACTTACTTTATCCCTTGCCTCCTCTATTACTGTGACCCTCTTTCTCCCTCCCCCCTTAACAGAAGGAGCAGTGCAAAAATTTTATATTTATTTATTTATTTAGGTATTTTTACCCCGCCCTCCCCGCAAGCGGGCTCAGGGCAGCTTACAAGGGGCGAAAGCCCATACATAAAATCCAATAAAACAATCATAAGCAACAACACTACTAACAACAATAAAGTGCTTTCAGTATCAAGATGGTCTAGAGTGGTTATGATGGTCTCTTCCAACAGCCCCATTGGGTTACCACTGTCCAGTTCGGCATCTTAACCACTTGAGCCACCGCAGCTCCCAAAATGCGCGAACCGGAGGCTAAAAAACTGTGGGCTGGCTCACACTCACTCAGCTTAGAGGGAAGCACTGCTTTCCCCACCCCTGTATTTGGGGGCGAAGCTGAGCTCGTGGGAACGGAGGGCTTATCCAAGGAGGCGGCTTTCTCTCCTCCTCCTCCTCCACCACCCCGGACAGAAAGACCACCCCCAAGATCAGGCAGCGAAACTCCCAATAACAAGCCGGGATTCGAACCCAGGTCAACGACAGCCACAGAGGCTGCGCCATAAATACGTGCGCACTTAAGGGAGACGCAGCTGCGAGGAAGGATTTAAAAAAAACAAACAAACCCAAGCCTTTGCCACGGGGGGGGGGACACACAGAGAGA